GAGGTCGGTAAAATGAGTACCCAGCTTGCTGGGGGGGCAATGTGTAGCCTGTATAATTAAAAATTGTAAACAGCCCGGAGAGTGCTTGTTGCGCTATGGGGCGGTATATAAGTCCAATAAATAAAATAAATAAATACTTTTACATTTCACTTCTCATGGGCTGGAAGGACACATCTATACAGAATCGTCATTTCTACAAAATTTTCTGTGCCAACACAAGAGTACCACGTTTCTTGGGGGAAAATACAAACACAGAGACACCAATTGCTCCCCTGCATAACTACACCTAAACATAGGCACTAATACTGCTCCCCAAATTTTACTAGCAGCAACTATCTTTGCGGAGCAAAGGGGATCAGACAACTGGAGGAAAACACTGTCATTTGTACCTAAAAACTTGGTAGACATTAATTAACCCTACCAGGCTGTTTCTTCTCTGCAAAGTGATGTAAGAAAAAGGAGAACATAAACATAGACAATAAGGGGGAAAATAATTATTTAAAACACCGGGGTACCCTCCAGGTGTTAAGAGACTACAACACCACACTAGTCCTGCCAGCATGACCAACGGTTGGGAGGATGGGGGTTGTAGTCAAGAAGCCATGAGGGAGGAACGAGGTTGGAGAAGACTAGTCACACAGAAAGCCTGGAAAATCCTCCAGCTGATAAAGCTGGTCCTATAGTGTCTGGAAGCACACCTTCCGACCGTAGAACTGTTCCTTTTCGTCTGATACAGGTACTGTATCGCGTTTGTACCAAGCCGGGGGGGGCCCGAAAACCTGTAATTTAGCAATATGGCGGAAGGCCCTCTGTACATGACCAGAGGCGCTCCCGTGATTCCGTATGGGGGAAAACCTTGGTTCGGCTTAATGACGCCCTCTTCGCGCCACGTGGGTCCCCTAAAAAGCCTCTGCCGCAGCCGCCGCTACCTCTTCTTTTCCAGGGCCAGGCGAATTTCCCGGTCTTCCGGCGTCTCCTCGCGTTCCGCCGCCGCCTCCTCGTCCTCGTCCACCCCGGCCCTGGACGGGGCAACCACCACCTCTCCAAAGGCGGTGGCCATCGCCCCCTCCTTCCTTCCTTCCCTCTCGCCCGCCCTGTTTAGGACGCCCGGGATTCCGCCGTCACTCGCCCGGGATGCCCTCCGTGCTCTTCCGGGTTAGAGGGGAACGAAGGGACTCGCACAAGATCTGCGCATGCCCAGAGGAAACCACTGAAGCCGCGCCGCTTGCGGTAGCCTTGCCCTCAGTGGGTGAAAGGCGCTTCTCGGATCGCGTGCAGTATGCGTGACCCGGTCGGAACCTCTTTTAAAGCGGCGCTCGTGCTAAATAGTAAACAGACGAAGGATAAGAATAGAACCGTTTTGAGGGGAAGGTTACCTTATATTTAATGGATGGGAGGAGAAGGTGTTTATTTCTGTCAGGTGTTGGAAAGACGGGAATTTGTGCCCCGCCCAGACTGCAGGTCCCCTCATCCTTCGCCCGTGGCTATGCTAGATACCACTGATGGGAGTTGTAGTTCGAGTACTTTTGGGGAGTTCATGGGAAAGATCGAGCTACTTGGATACTTTGTTTTGTTTCTTTTCGAATAACACCCGTTTTACCCGTCGTATTCTTTTTTCTCTTGTTGCGTTGTTTAAATGTCAATGACGCCTGAATGGCATGAGTGCCTGAAAAAAAGAGAAAGCGACTACTGTATGTTGCATTTTTTTCTCCTAAACGTTCATTCAAAATGTTTCTCTACGGCCTTTTCAACAAAACAGTCGTCAAGGCAGCTAACCGTTGTTTTGAATTGGTATAGCGGCATTCTTTGATTTCCAAAGATGCCCTCCAGGAAGGCAACCACGGAAGCTGACCTTGGCCAGAATGGGAAACGTTCATGAATCTTCAGGGGCCACCGTCAGAATTTCCTTCTGGCTTGACAGCACTAATTCCCACTCATGCAAAAGATGAGCCATTGCACCATATCTTCTGGACTCACATTACTAGATACAGCTGTAATCATTTGGTTGTGATGCAAATGCAAGTTTTGGGGTTTTTTTCCCCCTGAAGTCCCTGCCTGTCCACCTGGATTTCACTTTGGACTAAAGCATTTCTGTCTCCTCTCTCTACTTTCTTAATCTGGGAAAACATACACAGGGCCCTGTAGGACAGATAACTATTCATAAACCCTTTGGAATGGAGTGAGGGACCAGGGCAGTCAGTCTCACAACATACAAACAAGGCTCTGACCCAAACTTCTCGCAGAGTGCGAGGTTGGCGGGCAGGCAGAGTTCCAGTCCAATATATATGCGTAGGATGTTACTTGCTTTTTCCCCCTCGAAATTTCCGAAAGAATTTCCTTGCAGTGTTGTTCTGAGGTCAAGATGGAAAATGGACAGGCAGGCACAGGATACAAATGCAATTATGTCATAAATAAAATGCCAGACTTTCAGAGGTTTTAGAATCTAAGATCTTATGTATGATGCCTGTTGCCATCTCTACCCTATAAGCACACTGAACAAGTTACAAGATTGTACCGGTATGTCTGATGTCATAAATCATCCAACGTGAAAAGCACAGCATCTTCTTGAACGTAGTCCTTCAGCTCAACCTTGACAATACAAAGACCTTTTTACTTTATCCTGATTTGCTCATTCATTAGATGCTTTTCCATTGGTTCTTTCCTGGCAACTGCAACTTGGTATTTCTGCAGAGGAAGTTCAACCTTTATTCTTTTCTTGCCCCGAATTCTGTGCCAGAGAAAAAAGAAAATAAGAGAACTACAAGACAAAGCAAATAAGTGACTTGTGATGGACTCAGCTTAAAGAGTGTCTTTGAATCCTTCTACTTGCCCTTTTCCTCATCATGCGTAGTGAAGGGGCCGTATCTTTCAAAAGTTAACACTTGGAGACCTGACCTCAGTAGTCTCGATGTATTGCAGTGAAATAAGCTCAAAGAACAATAGTGTTGGATATCCTGTGATGCTTAACCCTGACAGGGTTAGGCTATAGAAGCATTTCTAGAAACTCACATTTGGTGTATATTTTGCTGCAAAAAGCTTGGAAGAACTGGCTTGGAAGAACTCCTAGTTTAATTCATTGAAGACTTCAAACAAAGTTAGGCAGCCATTGGGAGTTGGAGAGATTTGTGTCCACCTTATCTGAGTGAAGGCCTCTCTGCCAGGACCCCTAGGCACACTTGATGCCATGGATGCCCCTCTACAGCCCCTTCAAGTCAGAGCTTAGAATGTTACATTTGCTAGGCTATTCATTACTTCTCAGCAGCCAAGTTGCTTTATCCTTGTCCATTCTCACAAGTTGTGCATTGCATTGCGTATTATTAATGTTGTATTTACTACCAGGGCAAAGTAAGCAACATACTCTAATTCCCTCTGGTGGGCAATTCTGATATAGCATCTTAGATATATTTATAACATGACGAAAGGTAAAAACCAAAGACTTCCCTTGCTTTTTAGTATGGAAAAATAGTTGGTGTGATGCCTGAAAAATCCTTGTCAACATCAGATTGCTCTCCCATCTCTAAACTATACTGATTGCAAACTTAGATTATGAGGATGATAATGCAGGCTTGAGTCTCTAGTATGTATATAAAATTTCAGCCATCTGCTTTTCATAGCTTAGACTTACGGCTCTGATAGACAAATAAGCATCCTCAATGATAGGTAGACAAGATAAGTGTTACACACACACACAGAGAGAGAGAGAGAGAGAGAGAGAGAGAGAGAGATGTCCACAGCCTCCAATACCAGCAGAGACATGTTCATTTCTTCCCCCTCCTCATTGCTGCCATAGTCTGCTGTCTTCACTTGGGGGTCTGCCTGTGTGGAGTGTAATCCACAAAACTTCATTCTGAATGCCATTTTTTGTCCTAAAAGTGCCAAAATACTTATAATTTCATTGTTGATAAAACCAATTAAGAATCAGACAGGTAAAATATGCTTTGATCCACTGTGATCCACAGTGGTTCAGCTCAGTTCCCTGCTGGTTTCTGCAATTGAAGTTGCGGTAGTCATCCAGACAACAAGCGACTCTTATGTGGCAGGAGTCAGCAGGGGCAGAGGCAGGGAGAGCTGTGCTTGCATGGAGTTCCAACAGATTAAAGCTGCCTTTGATCTGATGAGATGCCAATTGGCAGTTTCCATTCGGACCTCCCCATCCCTTTTTGTCAGCACAGCAGATGTCCCCTCGCACTTCCAGTTCCCTGTGCCTTTTCAAACACATGATAGAAGGTTGGAGGGCCTCCAAATAAAATGTTGGGGATGAGCAGGGGGCTGCATACAACAGAATCTGGAAAGGTTCTATTGCACAAGTGGAAATCCACTTGTATGACATCTTTAGCAATGATCAGCACAAAATAACTGAGTGCTAGTCTCTCACAGCCAATTGGTTTTACAGTGTACATACAACAAAGCAAGAGGCCCCACCCATATTGCTGCTTATCATACTGACTGTGAAAATATAACTCATACCTGCAAGAAAACTTGCAGTATATAAGGTGATTTCCCCTAACCATCCTTTCTTAAACAGAAGTAACAGCCAACATGGTGTCAAGTCATTTCAAAATTAAGGTGACCTTCCCAGGGTTTTCAGGCTAACCAGCATAAGATGCATTACCACCTACAGTTATGTGCCTCTTTGCTTTGAGAACATCTGACTTAACAGAGAAGAGATGTGAGTTGCAGGATAAAAAAAAGAGCAATTTCCATGCACACTAATGATCCAGCCACAAAGAGGTTCTAAGTGAAAGTTGTGTCATTTATTTCAACGTATCAAGCACAAACAAGTTGTTCCCTGGTAGGGAACATCACAAGGAATGTAGTTAAAAATCTGGAAACATTTACATTGAAAGTTAGCCCAGACTGGCACCACCACTAAATAGTTTAAGGCTGCATATACCTATATATATATAATTTCATTTTTTTAAATATATATAGCAGTACTTACCACTTGGAACTACTTCAGGCCAGAAAAGAAAGGCTTAGTACTGGCTGCAATTCTACATAAAATATTGCAAATTTTTTAAAAAATGGTGTAAAAATAGGAAGACTATCAACAGTTTTGAAGGATGCAGTGGCAAACCCTTACTATTCCTGACCATTAACCTTACATGTACCTACGAGCAAAGACCATACATAGGATGCCTTCACACAGTCACAGGATCAGCCCTATATAGGGGGAAAGGAGCTCTCTGTGAATCTAGAAAGCAGTTGTCTCTTGATACAAAACCCCAAGACACTGGAGCTACCTGGGTCTCAGTGACTGCTGCCCAAACTAGCTGCAAGCAAAATTCACCTACTCACATACCAGTGTGGGTGTGTATCAATGGACAAAAGCTCTGCTATGCCACACTCTATGCCCAGTGAACCCCAGTACGCTAGTGATTTTGTGACATACAAAATAACTTATGTACAGTAGTGCTTATGCACCCATCCTCTTTCACCCAGAAGGGAATAATGGTACACTTCAGAAGCATTCCTTTATACAGTGCTTGCATTCCTTAATACAATGCTGTGTGTTTGTATGGTTTAATCAATGTAAAAACAATTCTATATATATGTATGTATATATATTTATATTAAAAACCCAACTGATTCTTAAACAGGCATATCTGATTCTCTGGCCCAAAGGGCATCACTTAGGGCATTGTTGGTTATGCATGGGAAGCCTCATCGTTCCTAAAAGGGGCAGGCCTTCAGAAGTCATGTGTATTTACAGTCTTGATGGAACGGAGGGCGATGAGGGGCTGTTCAAAGGGAAGTGGTGTGTGAGAGCACTGGCCAGAATATTCCAGAAAATGCTGTGCTATCTATCCCAGTTGGCTGGCTTTTTATACCGTTGGCTCCTTCGGTCACAAAATAATACAGGAGGCCTCTTAACTGATGTTCAGAAGCCTTCCCTGACCTATTGAAAAACTGGAAAACAAGCTGTTTGGTTTCACAAAACCAAGGAGATGTGTATAGTGTTAAAAAGGGGGACGCAAATACTCGTCGGTAGATTTTAATTGCATCCTAAGATGACAAGACATAGAAAACAGAAACTGCACACTTAAAGCTACATTTGGCTTTAGCATTAAGGCCCATACAGGTAAAGAGGTCCTTGTAGATGTCCAGGTAAAAGGCAATGACATTAATCTGAAGAACAAAACTTTGCAGGTTCCCTGGTTTACTGTGTCCTCTCTTCTTTCCACCCCAGCTGTGTCAGCATTAAAGTGCTTAGTGCCTCCGCAGGCTCCTTGCAGTGAAGTCTCTCTTTCTCCTGCAGCTGGTCCCTTTGTTATTGCTGCCCAATGCCCCGGGTTTTGTTTTGCTTTTTTATTTGAAGACATAATTGATGAAGAGCTGACATGTGAGGAAGATGCACAAAAGGAACCAACAGCGAGAGTCCAGGAAGAGGTTTTCCGAGGAGGCCCTCCTGTAAAGAGACTTTTTGTTCAGAGCAGTGAGGTTTCTGCAACGACAAGAAGCCCAGAAACAAGTCATTCAAAATGCAAACGGTTCCTTACACAGCAGATCCCGCTGAGATAAAAATGCCACATTAATCCAAAGCTCAATGTCAAACAAGCCTCATAAATAAAATATTCTGATAGGTAACTTGCCAGCTGCCTGGAACATTTTGCATCAGTGGGCCTCCCAAATTCTAGAGGGATTAAAATAAAACTTCTAAAATTCTTCATTTGTATTTATTTCTTTAAAAATTATGATTAAGTTCTTGTGCTCCTCTGCCCCCCAGAAAGAGTTTCCAAGAACTACATTGTCTAATCAAGCCAGAACCTGTTGTTGTTTGTTTGTTTGTTTGTTTGTTTGTTTGTTGTTGTTGTTGTTGTTGTTATGTGCTATCGAGCCACTTTCAACTTATGGCAACCCTATGAATGTGTGATCTCCAAAATGTCATCTCCTCAACAGCCCTGCTCAGCCTTGTAAACTCAAGCCTTTGGCTTCCTTTAGGAAGTTAGCCCATCTCATATTTAATCTTCCTCTTTTCCTGCTGCCTTGCACCTTTTGCCCAGCCTTATTGTCTTGTCCAGAGAACAGTGCCTTCTCATGATGTGCCCAAAGTAGGAAAGCCTCAGTTTCAACATTTTGAAGAAGTTCCAGCTTCTTTTGATCTAGGCCCCACTTGTTTGTCTTTCTGGCAGTCCAGTGTATCTGCAAAGCTCTCCTCCAGAATAATATTTCAAATGAATCAATTTTTTTCTTGTCAGCTTTCTTAAATGTACATCCTTCATATCCATACATGGTAATTATAAATATGATAGCGTGAATGATTTGGGCTTTTGTCTCCAGTGACACATCCTTAGACTTGATGATCTTTTCTAGTTCCTTCATTGCTGCTTTTCCTAGTCTTATTATTCTCCTGATTTCTTGGCTGCAGTCTCCCTTTGGATTGATGGTTGAACCAAGTTATCAAAAATTTCTAACTATTTCAACTTCTTCATTGTCAATACTAAAGTTGTGTAGCTCTTCTGTAGTCATGTTTTTGTCTTCTTAACATTCAAATGCAGTCCTACTTTGGCACTTGTTTTTTTTTTTTTACTTTCAATAAAAGAACTTTAGAACTTTTTATAGGAACACAAATCTTTTGAAAGTTAAGTTAGAAGATGCTCTTCCAGGCACAGAGGAAAGGGCAGATTACCTAAGATTTACAAACTTCCTCTGCAACAGTAGCCCTCTCCCTTTTATCTTTTAAATTGTAGAAGCAGATTAAGTTGGTTCTTCAGTTTTAAAAAAACACACTTCTTATTCCCATGGGGGAGAAGGCAGTGATTCATGTCAACCATGAATGTATGCCCTTCCCTTATAAATAAATCCACTTTTACATGTGGCCGTAATGTCTTGAGGTTTTCTTCCCCCATGCACTGTGCTTTGGTGCCTGCTTGGTAGCATTCTGACATCAGTAACCTCCCTGACCAGCCTCCATAGAGAGAGACCCCATGTACGGCCATTCACAGCAATCTTTCCCTCCTCCTTCTGAAGTCCCAGCAATTATGGACCCTTACTCTACACTCCTATCCTTTTTATGACACCAGGGATGCTAACTGTTCCACATTGGTTAGAACTACTGGCTGGTTGTTTGAAACTTAGACAGATGACTCTGTTAATTAAGAGCATGGAAACAACAGAATTCTGGCTTGCATAGAAAGCCTCCACAACAGGGCGGGCGCTTTCTCTCAAATATGTCACCTTCATGCAGGAAAACAACAATAGAAATGGGCAGGGCTGACACGTCTCCCCCCGGCATAGGGTCTACACAAGTTTCACGCGTGCCAGAATGACGGTACCTGTGTATGTCCTGTTGGGCTCTCTGGAGGGATAAGACAGCAGTGTGAATTTCTTTTAAATGGTCCGTTTCTTTCCCACACTGAGTACATGGACTTTCAAAACCTGGAGAGAGAAAAAGAGGAGATAACAAGTCTTTACGTGTGTTTTGTTTTTGAAATGGGGAGAACTATGGCATTTTATATGTTTTGCCTTTTCTTCTTCTCCCCATGCTCACCAGGAAGATATAATCACTCCAACATACATGGGAAAAAGGAATATGGTGGCAGAGGGATGTGGATCACACAGCTGCTTACAGATTCATGAAACCCTGAAATTTCGTTTAATGACACAGGTTTTACAGATATGTTCAAGGAAGTGGCTTACTCACACATTATTTCCTTCCCACATTTGTAAGCCCTGTATCTGCAAAAACTGTGTTGAACCATACATTTTGAATCTGCCGGCCAAGAGATCCACTGTGAAATGTCAGGGTGAGTCATGTACAACATACACAGTTAAGGAATCTCAGTAAGATATCTGCAAGAAAATTCTGGGTCAACTGATGTGCACTCGCTTCCCAAACCCAGCTCCTCTCAGTGAGAATTCTCCAGCAGAGACTTTGGCGCCTTGCTTATCTCAACCTAGGCATGGGAGGAAGGCCACAAAGCAATGCCAGTCTTAACAGACACCAGTAGCCATCTCAACCCGATAAGAACATACCAGGCTCTAAACTAGTGGCCCCAAATGCCAGTAAAGTAATAAACACAGAGATAGCAAATTAGGAATGTAATCCCATAAGGATTTCCAGGTTGTAAGTATTCGAGAAATGCTATGTCCTGAAATAATTATTTACTCATAATCAGATCTCCAATGTCCCAGAGATATGGAAGTGGTGTCTTTCATATCACAATAGAAAAAAGAAATCAGCGCAAAAGTGAAGGGACTCTGTTGCTAATACTTTATTCATTATTATTGTTAATGTATGAAAACAGTGTAAAAGGTGACAGTAAGAATCCTCTAGTGTGAGTTTTTCACTGGAAAACAGCCAACGTTGTATGACTTTACAAACTGCTAAAAAACATAATTATCCTGCCTGTATGAACATAAAATATATTATGTTGTATTGGATGCTTTCTAATCTTGGCTTGTGCCGTATCATGTTTTAATAGCAAAGGAAAGACAGGCAAGCAGATGTCCTACAAAAGTCAATACCGTACATCCAGGTACTGTTTTAGGAGCAGAATTTGTTGTAGGGAGATGTGGATATCTCACTGCTCAACTTAGAGGTGGCAGAAACCAGGAAGCATACTTTGAACTAAGTTATAATTGTCCTAATAGGAAGAGTGTACATTTTCAGTCTTGCTGGCAAAAAAAGCAGTTGGATATTTGGAAACAAAAACTGAGGTCAGGAAGGAGCATTCACAAACTCTGCACCCTTGGCTTCTGTGGTTTGTGGCTCTCCCTCCCTCGTGAGTCCTAATGTGCAAATTTATAGTTATGTACAGTTACATCCTGTCTTTCCTCCAATAAGCAAGTGGTAGTTGTCTTCCCATTTTCTCCCAGTAACAGTCTTGTGAGAAAGGCAGGTTAAGAAAGAGTAACTGGTGCACGGTAATCTGATGAGCTCACTGGAGACTTGAATGCAGATCTCCAAAAGCCCAGTCCAGCACTTCAACCATTATACCAAACTGACTCTTGCATGTGCATAGCATGTTGTTAGCTAATGGCAACTGGCTGCAAAAATACAAAATGAAAAGAAATGAACAGCATGCAATGGATTGGATGGAAAATCAGAATTACACACTGGTTTTGCCTGCTATGATTTTTAATGAATCTTAGTCTGAAATCACAGGTTTTGATTGCCCGACTCCCAGACAGTGATTCATCATGTTCAGTGTGTAGTAGGCAAACCACTTGTTGGGAACCACACACCGGCATGTACCGTTTCTTTGCCTTACATAATATTTAGGGGGAGATCCATGGCAAGTGTGGGAATGAAAACTCAGTTACATGTCATGCACAGCAGGATGATGCTTCTTGTTCTGTGGACATCTTTTATTAAGAGACAGCTCAATGTGTGGACATGATGTCAGCCAAGGAACCATGGAAACCCTAGCTGAGGTTGTGAGGGAGATTGGAAGGGAGATCTCATGAAGGGAGAGTGTGCTGTGTTTATGCTTGGTTTTATTGTCTGGTTTGTTGGAACATGATGTCAGCCAAGGAACCATGGAAACTCTAGCTGAGGTTGTGAGGGAGATGGGAAGGAGGTCTCCTGAAGGCAGAGTGTGCTGTGTTTATGCTTGATTTCTTTGTCTGGTTTGTTGGGAGGGAAGAAACCAAATAAGGGAAGCTGCCTCCTGCTGGATGACATAATTCACCAATGGTGAAGTGAAATGCCCTGGCTTGCTGCAAACTGTTCATTCTGGATAAACGAGGGATCCCATCCTGTGAAAGCATCCTATGCCCAATAAAAGATCTTGCCTATTTTAGGAACTTTATTCTCAAGGAGCTAAATCAATAATCCAACTGACAATATCAAGCATGAGAAGGGCTTTTAGAAATCTGCCTTCATTCTAAAGCCTTGGGGAGTACACCCCCTCATCACCCAGAGCATTCATTGAGAGAGTGCCAGTGGAAAACATCTGAAGGGTGCCAACTTGAGGGAGGTGGATATGCCATTTTGGGATGGCAGCAAGACTTATTAAAGGATATGGGTGGAGAGAGAATCAGAACATTGCAATATTCTTACCATCATCATCTGAAAGGTCCTGCACCGATTCAGGTGTTGAGCAGCTGCTTTCAGTGTTCTGGCTGTTATTGGACGGTTGGTCGCTGGCTTTACGCCGTCTACAATCATTTGCAGACCTCTGAACACAAAGGAAAACAAAGGTTACAATTTACACGAGACTCCAAGGACACAAATTACAGAAAGAATCAATACCTGGACTTCAGTGGCAGCTGATGAAAGAATGGTCCTGGCCTGAAACCTTTATTCTTAAATAACAATACTGGTTTCTGTGGAATAAACCTGAAGGTTCAAGGGCAAGGCCACTCAACCTCTTTCCCTTCACTGCATTACAAGGATTAGATCCAAATCTTAGACATGAGCACAATAGCAGTAAAAAGGGATCTTTCAACAAAACGTAGTACTATATTTTTACCTTTTCATAGGATCACTACTGTTGAGAGTGCCAGATAATCAGCTGCATCAGCCTCCCTTCCCTCACCTTCTAGCATTCTGTGACTATTGTATGTGTTGATTCTCGCCGAGTTGTGCTTTTTCCCCCTTAGGAGAAGGAGCAGCTTCCTCAGGGTTTTTTTAAATATGGTTTAGTACTTTTGCAAACATTCAGCCTCCCCTCTGCATCCTGTCTCTCTCATCTGGGTGACGTGTTCAGAGCAGGGAGCTATTCCCTAAAGTTTAGAGGTGAGGTACCGCCTTGCTCCATCCAAATGTTTCTTGTTTGTCATAACCCTATTTTGCCTCCATTCCTCCAGGCACCACCTGAGTTCACAATTAGAAAGAGTGGCAGAAAGAAGATGGAAGTTTTTAGGTTCTGAAATGGCTATTGAGCAAAATGAATTCCCTTGACTGTTTCTCTCGGCTCTTTTTCAATTCTCCGAACTTATAACTATAAACTTAATTTTGGAGCCCACCTTTTCCTAATGGCATACAGCAGAAAATACACCTGTCTCCTCTTTTGTATCTTCACATCCAGCCTATGAGACAGAGGCATGTTCCCAGATACAGGGGAAGAGTATCAGGAGACAGGTATCTAGTAGTTTTCTCATGTGCTCCCAGAGGCATCTTGTGGGGGCCCCGTGAGATACAGGAAGCTGGGCTAGATGGGTCCTTGGCCTGATCCAGCAGGGCTCTTCTTATGTTCTTAGGTTTGCCTATTACTTCCCATTTTATCCCAGGTGTTTCACAGACAAAAACTAAACCCCAAACTAGCCAAATGGGAATCTGAATGCATTCCAACAGTCTATCCATTGCTGGTTGACGGATTACACTATTTCACATTCCATATACACACCATTAAATACCCTTCTGCTACGTTCATCCGAATTAATCCTTTCCCAAGCGATTCTACAAACTGCAGCCTTGACACTTTGCAGAATGCTGCAACTGTTTGAAGAGGAAGGATTTTTCTTAACAGGCCACATTAAAAATGTTTGCAGACAGAGACCTGGTATGTCAGATTGGAACTGTCCTTGCACTGCCAAGGTGCAGGACTCCCTGTATCCAGCATGAGAGCACAGCCTCTGAAACCTGGCTCGGCAGGAACTCCCAGCTCTGGCAGGTGAGATTTGGAGCACGACCAATGGACAATTAAAATGCAGAAGTATGGTTCTCCTCCGAGTTTAGAAGGGATGCTGGTTATGCTGGACAGGGGATTATGGGAGCTGTACTCTTAAAATGAACAGGATCTTTCCCAAACAGGAAAAAAAACCCACATTGCAGGCACTGAAACATTGGCGACAGGCCTATAATTGCCATCTTTCCCAAACAGGAAAAAAAAACCCACATTGCAGGCACTATGATGGGAATTCTGAAGGAGTCCCAGTTACCTTGTGTCGGGCCACTTGGTTGCTGGTGCGAATGTTCTTGTGAGTTGACATTCGATTGGGTAAATGCCTCTGCATGGTTTGGAGGATGCCGTCTTTCTCATATTGTGCAATGTCATTCAAAGGGTCCCAGGGCCTTAAACTTTCAAAGCAACACAAAAAGTGTATGAATGGGAGGGAAACTACTAGCTTTAAAGGAAGCTGAGAATTCCAAACTGCAAGTTCAGTTTCGCAGTGTGTGCAGCAGAGATAAACATGTACGCAACACAAAATGACCATAAAGCAGAAAAAAGATGGAAATAAAAAAGGCCCAAGGAGTCTCCACCCTGCTACTAATCAAGTAGCATCTTCTTTTACATGTCACAAACAATGTGCAATCTTTATGTTCACAATCACCAATCACTCAGTGAGGCCTCCCTCTCATGATTCTTTTTCACAGACAGGGAACTAAAGCCATGAGATAAAGCATATGCCCAGAAAGGTGTCTTAAATGTGCTGGATCCTCTCCTCATTTAGGCCTCAGGAAGAGCTAACAACTGCAGTTCTCTCAGAGCTGACCCTCGTGGCCACTAAGCAAAATGAAATGACTTCATGCCTTGATTTGGATGGATATGCGTTGCCATCCACTTCAGGCAGCAAAATGTCTTGGGCCGGCCCTGAATTCTGTGCACACGTCCATGAAAGCCTGTTATTTCAGTAGGACTTCTATCTAAACAGGGCTGGACAGTAAGGATGGACAGCAGCCGCAAGCAGGTTTTGACAGTTTTGTGTCAGGTCTCCCTTATCTGGGTCATATGCAGTGGTCGATGTATGTGCATATTATATAGGCAATTAATCTGTCTTTCCCTCATGATAAGGCAGTCTCCTACTGGCCTCCTCAGGCAATCTATGTAATTCCATCTGGCATTTGGTCCTTCATCAGCTTTGAACAAATTTCATTTATTACATTTCTATACCACTGAACAGCTAAAGCCTGGAAAAAGACCTAGATGGGCAGTTCACAAAATCAAACTTTATCACAGAGCACAGGAAGCTAATAAAACAGTTTAGGACTGTGGCATAAACATGTCCGAAGCACAGTTATGACAAGGATGGTCAACTTCTTGTCTATTGAGGGACACATTATCTTGGGGGTAATATATGGGGCTGAAGCCAGCAGCGGATTGGTGACAGCCCAAAGGAGGTGTGACCATGGCACTCTTCTCCTTCTCCTTCTGCCACTTCCTCCCCACCCACTTTCCTCTGTCTTCCTTCGTGCCCATCAGCCTGCTGGGAAAAAGAGGGATCACCCTTGCACAGGCCTCATCGGCTTGCTCCACAGTGGGCAACTGACATTAAACCAAGGATCCGGCCAAGGGCTGCCTGTGGTTGCCTCCATCCCCTATGCCCTCTGAAACGTCTAATCATCACAGATGACTCACTCTTCATATTTGTAGTGCCATTCGTTGGTGGCAGGATCATGCCAGAAGAGCAGGGGCCTCCAGTCGGCCCCGTTCTCCTTCCGTTCCCGTGCTTTGTTCCTCTGCTCCTCTTCCAACACAAACTTCTCTTGAGTTGCTTTGTTCTGGTCTCCTTTGCTGATGGCACTTGTGACATGTTGCCAGAGGCTGAAAACAGACCAGGGTAAACAAGTGTCCTTAGTAAGACCAGGGACAGGCAGGAGGCTCAGAGGCCCTGGCAGTGTTTCTAAGGGCCATGGGGAAAGAAGGGGCTTAAACCAGTCCACTCCAGAATTAAAGACACATCCCAGAAGTACTGAAAAGACACCGTTTGTTAACACTGAAGAACCACCCCGCAGGGGTGGGGAACATTTAGCTCTCAAGACGTTATTGGAGGACAACTCTCATAGCCCCTCACCACCGGCTCGGCTGGTAGCAGTTGTGATCCATCACTCTCCAGAGAACAGGCTGCCCCTCATGGATATGCACACCTCTGCTCTTAGCTGAGTAGCATCTCTTGTGTCTTTGGATCAGGAGCAGCTCTAGGCCCTAGCAACCAGCTGCGGTGTCTTACATCCTGTGGCTGGGAAAAGAGCTCAGCTCCTTGTATTCTCCAACCCTACAACTACTGCATACTTCTACACTTACTATATACAGTATTTGCGTGCTGGAGGAATGATCCAGACCGATACCATAGCAAGAGTTGTTGGGAAGGGGGAAATTCCCTTGCCATGATGCAGGGTCCCATCTGAGTTAGGCCCTTTATGATTTCCTTTGAGAAATGTCGGTGAAAGTAATGTCAGCTTTCCTCTGTTACCTGGGGCACCTTAAGGCTCAAGCCAATATAGTTTTGGACCTTCCAGAATTGTATAGCTATCAGCCACTCCACCATTACTCCGAGACTCTTGCTAAAATCAAGACATATATTAAGCCCTTCTTCCATCACATGAGGTTTCGGTGGAGAAAAGGACTTCCTCTGTGCTGAATTTGAAACTGTAGGCAAGGACAGAAGCCTATGCAGGCACTCTGAACAGGACTAAGGCAAACATTCTTGAGGAGTGGCATTCTTCTCTCTCCATTATCATTGCTGTTGCCTTCATATATGCCTTCCACAATATGAAGCCATGCCATTGGGATTCTACAGATAGCAGAGGCTTCTCCCTTCAGAAAAACATCCTTGGGAAATGGTGACCAGTGGACTGAGCCAGTATGTTCCTTTCCACTCAACCTCCTCGCATATTTAATCCTGTTCAGAAGCCTCAACACAGTTCAGCTGTCTTTGCTGGAAGTTCTTTGTACGACATTTGAAAGAAGATTTTTTTTTTCCAAACCCATAAGTGGGCAAAGTGCAGAATTATTCAAATGTTTGTGTGTGTTCACATGTATGTATGTGTCTGTTTGGGTGGGGTGGGGATATGATTCCCTCACTTGCCCTCTTAAGGCAGCTGGAGCACCTTACCGTTCAGATTCAAATTCTGTTTGCTCTTCAAAGAGCACAATGTGTCGCTTCAGTCTTTGCTTTCGAACCTCACTGGTTGGATTCCAAAAAATCTCTGTGCTGCCATTTTTCAAGTCGTTTATATATACTTCACCATCCTGAAAAAAGAAAAGAAAAAACCTAATTACAGGATATGTTGCTTTCTTTCTTTATTTGTATCAGAGCATTTGCACAATTCAAAATCATGGATTAACATGAAATACAAGCAAAATCAAAAACCAATTAAAATGTCAAAGCAATCAGACAATTTTTCACCAGAAGTGGTCAGAGCATAATGTTACAGTAAAAGAATAGATGCTTTCAGTTGGGTTCTGCAAGAACTAATTGAAAAGAAGTATTTAATGATCTTCTGATACCCCTGTTCTTTCCTTTACTCTCTCCTGCCATGACTTTCTCATGTCCCAGAAAAATGAACTTGTATATTGCATGAACCAGAGCTTGGAAATGCAGTACTGTGTACTGTGTTGGATTTAACATGTTAATACAAAACCACTCTTTTTGCATTAAACAGGAGGAATGTGTCTAATCTTTTAAAAATAAGGCCTTCAAAGTAAACTTGAAGTATTCAAAATATTGGCCAATATCTTGTAAGTGTAGCTTGTCTTGTGCAATGGGACTGACATCTCTAGCAGTGACAAACTGCCTCTAATTAAAGAGTTTCTGGTGCTCACAACTTACAAGCAATGATACAAAGTCACACACAGCTTGAAATAATAATAAAAAATAATTCTGTATGAAAGTAGTGGCAATTTGCTGCTGTCAGAAATGTCACTTCTGCTTATGCAGGTGGAGGTACCCAACAGGATACAGTCCATCACTTCCAAAACATTCTTCTTCAGATGCATCAGGTGGCCCTGTTCCCTTGTGAACACAAAAGTAGTGATGTTAATGTTAACACACCAGCATATTATTTCCAGGCTCTGAGAAAAATGCTAGGGCATGGGCTTATTTTGCTCTGCAAAATCTGATGCTTTTGGGACCATGCAGTAGGTTGATGTATTAATGATATTAGTATTAGCTATGCAACTATTTTACAAATTTTTTAAAAAAGAAAAGAAGCCAACCCATAAAATGGTTCCCCATAAACATAGCTACTGCTTGTGCCAACTGGGGAAGTTGTAGACCAAAAACAGTATCTTTTTCCAAGCTCTGAAGTTCCCAATTTAGGGCTGTTGTTAGGCATTCTGCCTGACAGGTTTCTGGGTGAGAAGCCTTACAGGGCAGCCATTCTCAAGCTATTTTTGGTCACGGCCATAAACACAATATGAAGGCAATACCGGTCAAATCAGAATTGTGTAAGTCAGATACCAAACCTTATGAGGTGGTATGTGAAGAATGCTGTGCCCCCCTTCAAATGTGACAGAGCCCCCAGGGGTCATATGGACCCCATTGAGAATGGCTGCTCTAGAGCAAGGAGGTGGGTGCATGCTCTTCCCCTTGCTCCTCAATCTCCCACTGCAGCACCTAGGATCCCAGGCTGAAATAATAGCATCCCTTCCTTCCCTCTGCCCTGCCAGGGAGAGAATCACAGTACAACAGACCGAGGCAACCAGAAAGGCAGGAGGAAATTGCACTAAGGCAAGAAGGGAAAGCTTGACATGCTCCGTATTCCATTCTCTGAATGCTTCAAATGCCGCTAGGAAGTCATCCTTGCCTACTGTCAATTTATTCTGAAAATGAGCCACTAATTAAGCTGTCCTGCTTCAAGGCTGACAAGGCGATGGCTTTGGTTCCTCATTCCAGTCACAGAGGTTGAACCAGAAGGGTAATTTAAACTGCTCTCAAGCTAATGGTTGCTGAGGCTATTCTGCCATCAAGTCTAGTATGTAAGCTTTGCCTCAGTATTTCACAGTTATTTCAAAAGATATTCTCTGCACTGACATGAGAAAATCTATCTGTATCTACATTTCTATCATGCCCTTCTTTCAAGGCAGGAAATGAGAAAAGAGAGCACCTCTGAGGTGCAGAAAAATGTAACATAATGAAACCAATGTGTTTTGAAGGCTGTGCATGAAGGGCATTGGAAGGAAAAGCCATGCTCTTTTGCTAAGTCATATCCTCCTCACTTTTTTAGCAGAACACCTAGGAGACGGAATGTTCCTTTCTTAGTACCAATGGCCTGACAAAGACTCTTTGAAACATGCTGGGCTAAATGAAGGATGGAGAACATACAGGCCTTCAGATATTTTTGGGCTCCAACCCCATGATCCTTCGCCACTGACTATGCTGAATAGGGCTGATGTTGAACACCAGCTGAAGGAGCACACCTTTTCTGACTATGAACGAAATAAATGGTATTTTTTGAGCATCTGAAAGGCTCTCCCTTGTTATATAAACAAGAATGTATTTCTTATGGATCGCTTCCTCTAGCTGCTGATTTCTGGGGCTAAACCTATTGTCCCACCAGTTGGGGCTTTGCAATCCAAATGTTTGGGGTGCTTCGACCATGTTGCTCCCCCTACTGTTTTGTACCAGCTGATAGGGTCCAGCCTGGGATATGTAGTCTTCGTAGCTGGAAGCACATGAGAGTCTCAGGGAAAGGGCCCGTGCTTCTTTCTCTCCAAGGGCAAATGCTTCATTCTTATAGCCCTGCGAATTCTACCGAGTGACCCCATTGCTCCAAAGGCCCTTCCATTCACTAGGAAGCGCCACCCTTCATCTCATCAGCTACTGCTTCACTCTGAGGTTCATTTTCTAAACTGATATCAATCCAGGATTTCAAAACTGGTGCTAGCAGAGTATTAACCAGGACAGCAAGATTTATGTCTGAGCAAATTGAACTGCCTGTTGCTGCAGCTTTACCAGAGAACCTATTGTTTTAAAATTCATGCTCTACTTCAAAGCAGCTTTTTTTTAAAAAAAAACCCCACAACCATTCCCACCAGTCCCTCAGCCTCTGCTCCAGTCTGTGCTTGCGTTTCTAAACTGTCAGTAAAGAAGATTACTTTTTCTTACCCAGTGACCATCGAGGCTTGCCAGCACTTCTTCTCCTGATTTAATCTTCCCCGAGATTTGATTAATGCTTGTGCTGCCACCAAAGAACGGCTGTTGGGAGAGAGTTAAAAAAGTTTTAAAAAAATGCAATCCAGCCTAGAAGAAACTGGAGGCCAGCCAAGAATCTAGATGCTTGTCGTTCTGTGCCATCAGTCACTTCTGTTTGTGAATAAATGACATTCAAAAGGTCCTGTCATTAATAGCCCTGGTTCAGCCCTTGCAAACTAAAGGCTCATGGCTTTCTGTCTCATATCCAGTCTTCCTCTTTTCCAAGCACTGTTGGCTTTTCCAGGGAGTCCTGTCTCCACAGAACTGATGTCAAATTTCAGATTCTGGATTTTAAGAGCGGCCAAGGAAGAGTCGTTGCTTTAATTCTGGCAGTGCACCAAACAGGGGTCAAGCAGGCCCACACTTTAGCTGGTTGCATAATGAAGGGCTCTTTGGACTGCTTGGATAAACACTCAGATAATTAATTATTTGGTGCATGTTTAGGCAAGTTCAACCTACACAGTCCAAAATCCTATTAAGAAAAAAATGTACATTCAAAGGCAATCCTGTAGTGGTTTTTCTCCTCTGGCTTGCCACCCATCACACAACCACTTCCCAGATCCAGCAAAGCAAGGGAGTACAATGGCTGGTCAGCGTTGCAGTCAGGATAGTGGGCATGATTGCCTACTTGCAACACTGTGTGAATCCAAGAGGGTTCTGACTGCACTGTTTGGATTACAATCTGTGCACCAACCTGGTACAGATCTGGTACTTAATAATGAGTTCTTAAAGGTCACATTATAATTCATGCCATGATGTGAAATGTAGAAATGGAGGTGTGCATCAATAACAATCCAAAAATGTGAGATGGCTTTTTGATCCATATCCCTTTGCATGAATATGTATGTACATGTACACACCTCAAAGAGCACCAGTACCATCCAAACAGCAATACTACATAGCATTATACTCTATTTATTAGGATCCAGTGACAGCCACAGAGAAGCAACCTGGCAAAGAAGTGGAGGTAGCAGCTGATGCCACCGTCCCTGCTAATCAAAACATCCCAGTGTCTTGGCCCTGCCAGTCCTGACTCTACTACCCCACTGTTTCCTGCATAAGACTATGTCTTAACAGCATAGGTGACCTCTCCCTAACCCGAGGACCCGCCAAATATTTTTCATCTCCAACATAGCGTACCATAAAACTGTAGAAGCTGTTGGGGAGGGGCACAGACCTGTCATTTCAATGTAATTTTAATTCCCCAATCTCCTTTAGGCCCCAAAAGACTTTCTTCCAAAAATCCAAAGTGACTGGCTGGGTCGCAGGGCTTGAGGGATTTGGGACTGGGGTGCTCTACTCTGTCTGGCCAAGGACAGGGATGTCCCCAAACACTGCCCATCTCTGCTAAAGAGGCTTAATGAAACCTGAACCACTTTGGAGAAGTGCTGCTACCCTCCCTGTTTGGGCTCTCCCTTGTGAGGAGGGCAGCAGTTTTAGGATTTCATCGACATAATCCTTATCTGGGATGCCTTGCAAGACCAGCCCACTCACTTAGAACAGGAGCCTGGGGTAGAAAACATGCAGGTCTGTGTTCCGGGGGGGGGAGGGGGCAAGGTTTACTAAGTGGAGCCTTAGTGCTGAAGACCAGTTTCAAAATGTAAAACATTGATAGTTATGTTGGCTGTTGTAGTTTTTTTGGGCTGTTTGGCCGTGTTCGAAAACGGCCAAACAACCCAAACACATGTTCGGTACACGGCCAAACAGCCCGAAAAACCTAAAACAACCATTGGATCCCAGGCGTGAAAGCCTTCGAGAATACATTGTTGGTTACCTTTAACTTGAATTCCAGTTCTGCCCGGTGGTTGCTTTTCTCACAGTCAATTGTCACCTTCCCTCCAAGTTCCATGGTCATGGTGCCATACAGAATTCCTAGAAACAGAAAAGTCAACATTGTTAATAGGACGTCATGTTTTCAAAGGATGCATATATGTTTCCAGACACTATTACCTATGTGAAACCAGTCCCTCTCATTATATCATGCATAAAATGACAATGAAAGGCTCTTTGGTTATATAACATTACCTAAATAATTAATTATATAAATTATACATACATATACATGATATAACTAATTATATAATATTAATTATAACATTATACCGATATCATCACCTTGTGTCCTTCATCACTTTTGAAAAAAAAAAACTAAAAAGGGCAAGACCTTTGAGATTCAGAAGAAATGTAGTGTTTCTGTTTTTAAAGTATTAGTTACAATAGTATTAGTATTAGCCACAATAAGGCAATATGTCTGTCTCTCTCACTTTATTGACAAAACAACACTGAGAGGTAGATCCAGCTGAGAGTGTGTTACTAGCCCAAGGTCACCCCATGTTATGACTAGGCAGTGACTAGAATCCAGATTTCTTGAGTATTCGCCCAGCAACAAAACCACTGGATCACATGGTTTTGCCTCTACAGGGGCAGGCAGAATGTAAACCACCGTAAGTCGGTAGATCGCAGGGTGGTCTACACCCTGCCTGCTGTTCATTCTGCCTGGACCATCCTGGCCTAGTTGTGTGCTGGCCTAGAATCCACTGCTTCTTGGGTGCCATTTCACCTCTTGCTGGTTGAAACAGCCTATGGCTCCAACTGCACAACTGATGGGAGGAAGAGGAGCAGCAAAGCAAAGTGTTCATTTGATGCTAGTCAAGGAGCAAGAGAGGAGAGACGGCAGCACAGCACTATTTGAAGATCACAACAACTTATTATATTGCAAGGAAGTGGGGGTAAGAAAGACCTCACACAGGATTGTTTTAGCCAACAGTGTTGCTGCTGTATGTGGATTTTAACACAGGGTAAGTGCTGTTGGAGCAACTAAGAAGATGAAAAGGGGACTGTGTTGCAACCCCACCCCCCATTCCATCTTGACCCACAGCAAAGATTTAGAAAGATGAAAATCCATTCCCCTGGATGGCAGGTGCACAAGCATCTGTTCCAGGCACGACACCCAGCTATACATCCAGTGAGGGAATTTGTTTTTCATCTGCTTAGGTCTGCTTCTGCTGACTCCTAATGAAAATCAGAGAGCAGCAAAGACAATGACATGCAGCTCAGTCAGAGCAAGAAGACAAACAGAAACTCCTCCCCTCACCCCAATTGAGAGGGAACAAACACCGGATGGCATTCTGTAGCTTCAAGAAAGCTCATTTAAAGTTGACAATTTGCAAGCAAAGCAAATTGGGTCCTAACAATGCATCCTAAGAATGACTTAGCTGAATAACTGTGCAGATTTTACTTCTGTATAAAATGCATAAAATTGGACATTGCAATTTAAGATAAACTGTCTGTCTTGATTTGATTGTTGTAACTAGGTCATTGGGGTGTTGGGTATTCATCATCCGATATTAACCTCCCCCGTATGAACTTCAAGTGTATTTGAACTTATGGAGGCACAGCTGAAGGTCTACTGTCTGAAATTATTGTCTTCCAGCTTTTTCCAACCGATCGCTTCTATGTATGAGGTGTGGCAAGAAATTCTAGTTAGCTCCATTCCCATCTCACTGAGACCCTCGCCTTCTGCAGTCTTTTTGAAAAGAGATCACATCTGATCTCAAGTTGTTACACTTAGGAAAACCTATTTTTGTTAATGAATATGTCTTTAAGGAAGAGAAAAGAATCCAAGGCAGGAAAGAACAGAAAGCATGCAATTCTATGCCCAGAACCCCAGCAATATCCCACCTTTGCAGTGTGCATACGGCATGGTAATAATGTATTCTTCGCCGCTGCTTAGGAATGTAAGCTTCGCTTGTCCATCCAATAATGCGGAAAGCGAATTACCTGGGGGTACAATAGTACAAATGATTATCTATCTAGGTCACTGTTGCTCCTCTTACAAGTGAAGAATGGAAGAAAGATCAAGAATCTGGGTTTGGTTTACTTTCCATTTTTAAAAATACAGAATCCACCCCTCCTTTTTTGGGGGAGGGGGTGCTTCTAAGAGGAGGAGCCAGAAGGACAACTTCTACTAGTTTTTCTTTATTGGTGCCTGCGGCAGTATTGCAGATCAATATAGAAAACCTGGTATATTTCAGCATGGCGAAAGTGTTGCAATTTCTTATTACATCAGGACCCCTGCACCCTCGGGACCGGTTCCAAGCCGCTCCCTCGATACTGAAAAACTCAAATTGTAGCAAACATTATTTGAATAGTGAATGCTATATATAGCATCGTCTCTGCCTCCCTTTACTGGTCAGTTGTAGGTTTTACTGGTCAGTTGTAGGTCAGTTCTGGTAAAAACACCATGAAACTATATTTCTCTAACGAACTCTATGCATAACATGGCCACTGGCTCCCCCTACTGGCTAGGTCTGATAACTTCATCTTTAGAAGTATATATTTCTAGGGTTTTTCTTTTAAAATTTTTGATATTTTCAGACTGTGGATAAATGAATCATTAGATGCTGATCCTGTATATAGGGGGGATCCTACTGTAGTCTTAAATGATCCTAAAAGGTATATCTGTCTCCAACCTAAGTGAAGCGGACATTTCAAAGGAAGGACTGAATTATCATATGAGCCATAATAAAATTTGTCCTACTTTTCTTTTCTTTCTGCCTACAGAAGCAAAAGGCAGAATTTAGAAATCACTCCAGAACAAATTCTTCCCTGGCATAGATCCCTGTTTGACCCTCAAGTCTTACCATAAAATTTCGATCTGGCTAGAATGCTGCCAGTAATACAGAACCCATCCTTCCTGTTACTGACATGAAAGGCTGATACTGGAGGGTGATGAGAAACCTGTAAGGGAAGACAGCAGGATAAAAAATTGCTCATATATGCACTTCATTTAGATGGTGCTACATAGTTCAAGATGCTTAGTTTAATTCTGGCACAAACAGAAGCCCAGACTTACCTGCTCTGCTATGTAAAATGTGTGACTGTTGGTCTGGGGGTGAAACCAGCAACAACGAAAGGTTTCTCCTAAGATGGGATTGTATGGCTTTTTTATTCCCTGGAAAAGAAGAAATAGATAGGATCACACCAGAGATAAGTTCCAGTAAATGTCCCCTGCGGTGGAGGTGGAGAGAGATAGGACTCCCTCCACCTGAATTGCTCAAACCCATCTTTTGCAGAGTCTGGAACGATGAGTGTTTCAGAAGACAACTAACAGAACCGCCAATGGCTCCCAGGCTGTCTGTGAGACGCTGGGATGTGCCGTTCAAAAAAAGGAATGGTTCCAAGCTCTGATACCTCAAGGACTGCCTAGTAATTTAATCACACTGCCTTACCTTTGGCTTCTTATAAAAGCCTGACAGGTACCACCTCAAGACTTGCTGGATGCGGGAATATGGATCTTCTTCAAGGGCAGCTCTATAAGAAGGAAGAATAAAAACTGTTTAACTTTCTCTGAGTGATTGTGGTACATCCACACATCTTCATGGAGAATAAGGATTATTGTGGAATCGTGTCAGGGGCCCTAAGAATGATTAAACACCAACATAATGTAGAAACTTTAAACTTTCCCTCTAAAACCTTCCCACTAACGGGCAAAGTAGAACGTGACTTAGCACAGGAACTAGGAACACTGTACTTAAAATATATAATTTAAGAAATAAATGTGATTTGTTTTCATGCAGTAAAGGTTTAAATAAAAGGAAAATAATCTGACTCCTTGAGATTGGACTAGCCCAGTGATCACTGGACAAATGATGGTTCAACTAAAAAAGCGCCTGGAATAAAATCCTTGCACACCACCCTGATACTTCATCTGTCCATGAGCATCCCTGGCCTGTTGTACCTTTGTCTTCCTTATGACGCATTTGATTTTTGGTTATTAGAATCAAGGATTTACATGTGCTATTCCACAAAGCAACCAGACCCAGGGAAAATTCTATGTCTCTATAAATTCTTAGAATGCATAATCTGTAAGAAGATATTGGGAAACTTATTATAATCCAAGAGCCATAGTAATGAACAATAGCTTTTCAAAGCACTGCCTATAGCCTCACAGTCCCAATGTTGCAAAAACGTACAGACAAAATGCACTAAATGCTGTCGCATATCTTTGTTCTTCCCTTTTGAACAAGATGTTATTGACATTTGCTAGAAATTCCATAACATGTGTTGAGATATTTTGCCCATCAAGCGTGAGAGCACATTAAAGCTCAACCCATGCCTTGCCACACTGTCCATTTAGATTTCATTTTAAACAAATTTATTTTCCAAAAAAATAAAAAACATGTTTTTCTGCCCCATGACTTCAAAGATGACTTGATTATTTACTTTATTATTGCTTATTATATGTTCACAATTTCTCTTCCTTACATTCTTCTATTTGTCCCATATATCTCAGTGAGTGTGCCTTTAGTCTTGACTTTCGGTTTGCAAGAGGAGAACAGTGCGAATCGGCATCAAGGTGTTGACTCCTCCCTTACTGCTTGCTATCCTCATTGGGTTGATAGCAGCAGTTTATGTCTGAAGACCACCAGAATGAATTCCTGGCCTGATTTACTACCCTGATTAACTCTGAGGCACAAGCACACTATCAGGCAGACCTGTTAAGTATCCTAGATTTAACTAAGTTGGCACTCTTTGCACATCTGTGGACAGATGTGCACTCTTTCATCAAAGGCCCGCCCAAGAAGTGCTTACTTACTGGGAAAGTAGGTCAGCGTGGTAATAATAATCAGAAAGCTTATTGAGAAAGGAGCGCGGTTCTAAGATGAAAGTGGGCAGGACGACACGAGACAAGTCCATGCCAGGCCGCAGTTGCTTCAGAAGGATCCACATCAAGCTCTTGTTTTCCTCAGACACTGTTTCAGTCTGAGAGCATTCACCGGTCTGAAGAGGAAAAACATTCAGGTTACCCTGAAGCTCTGTTATGGAAGAGCTTCAGCTGGGCTCAGCTGACAGCACAACTAATCAGTCACAAACTGCTCTAGGTGTCTACTCAGCAGGAATGTCTTGCACAAGAGAAAACTCTGCTCTTATACCATCAACTCCACCTATACACTCACGAATTTTTACTTTCCAGAATTACCATACTATATATAGATTAGGATCTTGTTCTTTCTTTCTTTCTTTCTTTCTTTCTTTCTTTCTTTCTTTCTTTCTTTCTTTCTCTCTCTTTCTTTCTTTCTTTCGTTCGTTCGTTCGTTCGTTCGTTCGTTCGTTCGTTCGTTCGTTCGTTCGTTCGTTCTTTCTTTCTTTCTTTCTTTCTTTCTTTCTTTTTTTCTTTTACCACACCTTCCAAAGGCTATGCTGACTAGGGAATTCTAAGAACTATATACCAAAAAAAGGAACTTTTCTAAACTGTGGACCAGCTACCTGGCATACTGCACAGACTAGGTGCTGGGATAATCCAGAAACACATGCATGCAATCAAGAAGTTCCTGTGGGCATCACTTTTCTATTTAGTTCTGATCTTTGTTAGCAACTGAACAGGACTGAGCATAATCTGAAAACATTCATGCAGATTAAAACACATTCCACAGGTCAATTTATCATTTCATTTCTTGCATTAACAACCACATTTACTTCCTAGTCACGATGTCCGGCAGAAATGCATAATATTGACCCTAGAGTCCCAAATCCATCAGGAGGGTGAAAATTTAAGAACTTCAAGCAGCTAAAGACCTCGACTTTATTACTAAAACAACTTGTAAGTTTTAACTGACACAGCAAGGTGGCTGTGCAGAAGTCTCTCACAATCTGTCTGTTACTTCATGTGAAAGAAGAGGACAGTCTGAGTGGTAAAGGAGCTGAATGCACGAAGCAACAAGACACCACAGAGGATACTGGGAAATGGTGTGGCTTCATGCAAATAAAACGTCAGCAGACTGAAAGGGACATGCACCTCTTGAGCCACACACTATTGGTCCCTACACATGTTCATGGATGGAATTCAGCACTGTGTCACTTGGACAAGTACAGAGCTCACCCGGACAGAGAGCAAACTTACCAACACAGAGCAATCAAACCTTTCTTTTTCTCTCTATTGATTTTCATTCGTTATAACCCATCTTGTGTCAGACAAACAACATCTCTAAGCTTGGTCCTCCTCAGATAATGGAAGCCATTAAACAAAAAACTCTTCCAGTTGAGTTATAGGCTGCACTTGCGATCAACCTGCACTTTCATCAGATATGTTTGCTAACTGCATGTGGTCATTGATCTTGGTCTTAAACCTGTATAGCCCACACAGATAGAAATTCAGCTCTTTTCAACGCAACACATCAAATACGTCAAGCACAAAATTACACAATGTCTGGTGCTTTTGTCTCTCTCCAACTCTCAAAAACATGTTTTATCATTTAAACAGATTCCTTCCTTTCCTTCCTTCCTTCCTTTCCTTCCTTCCTTCCTTCCTTCCTTCCTTCCTTCCTTCCTTCCTTCCTTCCTTCCTTCCTTCCTTCCTTTTTTTTACAGGTTTATAGGTTAAAATTCTTGAGAACCCACATAACGATCATGCAATCAAAAACAACATGGCAATATACAACAATATATAATGATTTATGGCATGTTACTGGAATTTTTAGCATTGTCAAACCAAGCTAGGATAATCAAACTTTGGCTATTTACAGTTTGCATACAGTTGACAGTAACATCTAAACACCATTTCAAAATCAGGGAAGGGGACAAACAACTTCCCAAATAATCTTTGCATGTACATTATATGTGGTCACAACACACGGTAAATGTCTACTGGAGAAAAAATATTTGTCTTAGATAAAGACTTTGGGCCAGAAAAATGGGGGAAATTGCAGTTAAAATTAATTTTTACCAACAACTGCCTTAGGATTTTTTTTTCAGTGCCTTTAACTGAATAGTAATCTATGGGAGTTTGCTTTTGTATGAACTAGGGATAGATCCCTTCATATAAATCATAAGCAGAAAATATTGAACATTTTGGAAATGAGTTATGGCAGAGTGATGATACTCAAAGATTTATTTAGGTCTAATGATGGGATGCTCAAGGAGAACCATTGCTTAGATGGCCAGAAACTGCAGTCCGACAAAATTTGGAGAGGCACATTTTCCATGCTCCTAGTTCAGAGCAACCTTGCTTTTGCTTCAGATTCTTTGCTAATTTTTCCCTAGGTATTTTTTTTTTGCCTAAAAACTATCCTTTCCCTTCACCATCAGTTTAAGAATCTGTTCACAAGTCTCCTGAGAGCAATACCTTTGTAAATGACTAACCAATCCCATTTATAGTATGTGTTGCCTAGGAACAGTTTACATTTATACATCAGTAAATGTTCCATACAGGCAGGAAAAGCGACTTCCACAGGCTCCGTGGAAACAGGTTTTCCTGCCATAAGGCGTCAAGTGGGACAATGACTCAGGCTGAAAATCTAAACACATCTGCGACAGAGTAAGACCAGCTAAGCATAGTATAATGTGATTCCATATTAAAAATGCATGTCCAATTGTTTCACAATTTTTCTTTTCAAGTTCCCCCCCCCCACATAGCCCATTTAATCCAACTAGCCCAATTCTATATAATATGCAATTGATGACTGGCTTTAGATTTATCATAAAAAGTACAATAGGGTAAGGCTAATAAAGCCTCCACTAATTGGACTTGATAGCTTGTCGCAAAGCTATTAGATAGGATGGAAAATAATGCTGTGGTCCTAATAAGCTATTAAATGTAGACCTCTGACCTTATCATTGCTCAATAACAGCTCGTTTTGTTCTCGAGAAGAAATAAAAACTATCATACTTTGCACCTGTCCTTGGGATGAAGCACATTAAATTTCCTTGGGAACACCAGTTTTTGAGAAATGGCTCCTCTCCTGCTGTTGTGGCAAACGGCCTTGTCAGTTACTACACAGCTTTTTATGACAACACTAAGTTGAAAATCTCAGCAGTCCTGGAAGTGGGCCAGGAGAAGAGCAGCCTGCTCTCCAACTGTCGTACAAGCACCACTACTTCCTTTCTTTCTGTATTTATTTTATGCCCATCTTTCTTCTAGTGAGCTGAGGGCAGGGAACATGTCTCTCCTTCCCTCATTTTATCCTGACAACCACCCTGTGAAATAGGTAATGTTGAGAAATGGACTAGCCCAAGGCCACCCAGTGAGTTCCATGGCTGAGTGAAGACTTGAAACCAAGTCTCCTGAGCTGTAGTCCACAACTGTAACCTGGACATACTGGCTACATAAATTGATATCAAAAGGGCTAGGAAAAAACAGTGTGGAATAAAGAGGTTTCTGCCATAACAGAATGAATGGAGTGGATAGGTCGGTGGAAGAGTGAAGTCAACTCAGGTTGATGACAGACCCAAGACCATTTCTATGGAAAGATAAGTTAAAATGTTTCCTACCTCCCCAAATTCTTCATAATTCTGTTCGATATAAGTTGTCCCTTTCTTTTCCAACTCCCCGTGGATTTCGGATTGATCACTCTCACTTTCATTTGTCTTCCGGCTGTTTTCGTGCATTTCATTCTCAGACTCCTCAATGTTATCCCTTTCCGATTTGTCTGAGAAAGCATCATTTTCCAGATGATGATTCTCCAGAGCTGATTCATTAAGGCTGAAACACACAAACGGTTATTACGTTTTATTTGGATATGTTGCTCATCGGTCAGTCTGAGCTATACAGGCCATAAGGCTAAGAAGTATGGTTTTGCACTGCAGGGAATATCCTTTGGATATTTGAACTGTTCAGCCAAAGATGCCTTAGCTCAGGTGGGCCCCATGAAGGGCATTGTTGCCTTCCCCAAACCCCCAGCCTCATGTGGCCATCTCCTTCCAAGTTAAAAAAACAACAAACAAAGCAAAACTAAAACCACTGGCTTTGGGGGCAAAGTTTCCACACAAAGCAGTTTTGGGGAACTCACTTTGCCTTCCATGAAACCCTCAAACCCCACAATCCAAATCACAAATAGATAAATAACCAGAGACTCACTCTCTCTCTCTCTCTCTCTCTCTCTCTCTTTCTTTCTCTCTCTCTCTCTCTGTGTAAAGTTGGGGGTCTTGTGGCTTGTGTGGCTTCTCACATGTGCTGGGATCAAAAAATGTTTACCAGGCCATCAGAGCTGAAATCACATTTATGTTTAAGATATGTGATTCAGGCAATCCTTCCTATCTGAAAAATCAGACTTGTAAATCACACCTGAAACCTGCGTTTAGCTCCCAAGGACCCATCACAAAATAAGGTGAACTAATTTGCAAATTCTAGGGGAGAAAACCACCTGCTTTGACAATCACATACAATGAGCATTTAAGAAATCCCTTTTCAAATGATGAGTTATCTGTAATGTATAATCTGACCCTCAGAAAACTTTCCAGCAGACTTGAAGGGTTTAGTTAATTTGTTTGAGCACAAAAAAGTTCCTAGATTGAAGGATTGGATGATTAAAATGAGATTGAAAGATCAGATTATAGTTAAATATCAAACGAATAGATTGTCATGGTATAACTATATCCAATTAGATAGTTGGACAAATGAATGGCTGAAAATTAGTGGCAAATGTAGAGAATACACTAAGTATGAACAATTTCTGTCATCACATGAAGATATGCAGAAAGATGCTTTGATGAAGGGAGCAGTAAGTAGAATATATAACCTAATTCTGGAACAAGAGGAAAAACAGACAGAAACCGAAGGCTTGAAATCAATTTAGGAAAATGATTTAAGGACAGAAATCAAAATAGAGGATTGGATAAAAATTTGTAGGATGAGAGTTTTAAGATTAATGGTGGTAAGAATAAATACTCTGGTTTCTCTTCAGATCGCATAAAGAAAAAAATTTACAATCAGTTTAAGGTGGTATATTACTCCGGTGAAAATGAATATAATACATTCAGATTATTCTAAATCTTGTTGGAAATGTGATGAAGAAATTGGCACGTATTATGTGGTGGGAGTATAAACGGATTCAGAAATTTTCGAAACTGGTTTTTAAGGAAATATGTGATATATTTGGAAAATATACTGAATTCAATTCTAAAATTGCTTTGTTGTCAATTTTTATCAATTTTCAAAGGAATTGATTTCCAATTCTATGACAAGTGCTATAATATTAATAGCTAGATTTTGGAAAGACAAAAATTAGAAGATTGGTATAATGAAGTATGGGGCATTGTTAATTTTAAATGATAAATTAACTACTGAACTTAAGATGAAAAGAGGGGAAATAAGTTCAAATATTTTGTATGCTATCTGGGGTAGATTTGTGGAATTTGTACTAGTGAAAGGAAAGGGGAAAGCCTCTAAACAACAATCAATACAATTTTGGAAAGGAAGATCGTATTAAAAGTATTGTTCTAAGGGGTCCCGTGGGTAGGGGGTGCACTGGTTCTTAGATCACTGGTTCTTAACCTTTGTTACTCAGATGGTTTTGGACTGCAACTCCCAGAAGACTTCACCATCAGCTCTGCTGGCTGAGGTTTCTGGGAGTTGCAGTTCAAAAACACCTGAGTAACAAAGGTTAAGAACCACTGGTTTAGATTGCGTAGTACGTTTTTTGCACCTTTGTATTTGTTTTTGTTCTGAAAAAAATAAATATAAAAGAAACAGCTGTGTGTGGAAGGGTTGGTCAATATGGAAGTCATAGAAATGTGATTGCTTGCCACTGTATTTTGGAAGTTCATAGCAGGAAATCTGTGTGGGGTGTTCTTGGTTCACATTCATACACAAATGGATAGCCACATGTTCAAAGACTTGAACAGACTTTGGATTTATAACAGATGACAGATTTAGAAAATCCATTGGTTTACATGAACTGAGACTTCCTTAGCAACACCCACTGAGATCCAAACACCCATCCATGGCTTTATGTGTGCCTAGGGGATGGCCAAAGTTTTTGTGATCCAAAGGAAAGTGGAATTGTTTTCTTCATGGCTCATAATTCATGCTTTTAATCCTCATTAGAAGTGTCCGTTATTTGCTAGAACAGTTAGTGTTAAATTTCTCAAATATGCAGCACGGGACAGGGGGCTTAATTTATTGATGCTCTAAATTCAGGGAAAAATGTATTTGTCTCTCTAAATAAAGAGAAACAGCTGCATTTGTAAGAGAATGACGCAAAGCAGATAAAACCTTTATCTGTAATCTCTCTAAATATTAATACCACATGACCACTTGCTAGCTTTTAAATGGAGCATCTCTAAGAACAGAATGATGGAGTAGACTCTAAATGCACAGACTATTTTTCAGAACTATCCAGCTCTATGACAATTTACCGAACAGACACCCCAGCTTTAGAATGAAATCCTGCCCCTGCTCCACCTTTAAAATCCAGCTTAATGGCCATAGAGACATCAAAGTTAAGTAGATCCAGTAGTGAAAAACAGACATTATATTCCAAGGACATGCATGGGGAGGTGGGGGGGGATGAAACAAATGCCTGCAGTGTTGGAGCACTCACCAAGTACCTTGGAAGGCAGTGAATGCTCGGAGGCTGGAGGCATTCATGAAAAAAATTAGGCAACCATCTGACAGATATAATTTGATTTGGATTCCTGCCCTGAGCAAGGGGTTGGACTCAATGGCCTTATGGGCCCCTTCCAACTCCTATAGTCTATGATTCTATGATTACGGGAGTGAAACGGCTAGGTCTGTTGTAAATATTATTATTTAGAACTATAAAACAGCAGCAGAAGAGCATAAAACCAACCATAAACCCGAACTTCAAGATCATGAGGGGCAAAATTCATATCAGTAGTAAACAGCAGGTCTCCTTCACTGTCGGAGAATACTCTGTGCCCAGTACCTGGAGCAGAGGTCCATATTTCAGGCAATTCCTATATAGCTGCCACAGCAAAAGGAAGCTATTAATCTCCATTCCCTATTCATGCTGTCATATAGGTAAGCGTGCACTGTACTCATTCATCACGGAAACATAAGAAGCATAGAGTAAACTCTTCCAAAGAGGACCACTGTCATCCTTAAAGCAACACCTACATTTTCTTAATTTTTTTTAGCAAAGTTTAAATACTCTGAAGTGTTAAATGTAATTAACAAACCTGCTACTAAGAACATGTCAGCTTAATTGGCCTAACTCCCAAGAGTAAAGATGTTTAATCGTAAGATTAGTCCCAAAGTGAGACACTGTTGACAGTAAATCTAGGCCATCCAAGTATTTTGTCAGAACTACCAAAACAGCTGGAGAACAAATGCTATTCCATACAGGTGATTCTCAATTTAGCGTTCTCCTCATATTTGTTCACAATTTGTATCCCTTCTTGATGTCTGGCTCACAGATTTTTACTCATAGTCTTAACATTTAGAAATGGAAGGATGTTGTTCTGAATGCTCATCTAATGTCGGGTAAATACAATGGGAATGAATCAAAGTCCTTTCTAGCCCAGGATTCTGCTTCCTCCCAGTGCCAAACAATTTGCTCTCAGAAATTACTTCACACAAGAGCACATGAAGGAAACAGCCTTGTCCAATGATTGGTCCACAGGACCTGATATTCAGAGGCGTGCTGCCTCTGAACCCGGATGAAATACGATACCCATTGTAATGAGCAATGGTAAAGGTAAAGGTTAAGGTAAAGGTTCCCCTTGACATTTAGTACAGTCGTGTCGAACTCTAGGCGGCGGTGCTCATCCCTATTTCCAGGCCAGCTTCTGTCCGTAGACAGTTTCCATGGTCACGTGGCCAGCGCGACTAGATAAAGAATGCCGTTACCTTCCCACCGTAGTGGTACCTATTCATCTATTTGTATTTTTACATGCTTTTGTACTGCTAGGTTGGCAGGAGCTGGGACAAGCAACAGGAGCTCACTCCATCCCGTGGATTCGATCTTACGACTGCTAGTCTTCCGACCTTGCAGCACAGAGTCTTCTGCAGTTTAACCCACAGCGCCACCAGGTCTTTGACTGATACTCAAACTTTGTTCAATCCCCATTTAAAGCCATTTAAACTATTGGCCACTGCCATATATCACGACATTGAATTCCACATAACAGGAGGCAGAGGAAAGGGAAAGAAAAATAAACATTCCATTGCTGTGCTCAGAATACTGAGATGTCGGATTTGGCTACAGTGACACACTGCCTTAGTTACATCCCGTTTGGATTACTGTAACATGCTCTATGTGGGGCTGCCTTTGGAGACTGTTTGGTAACTTCAGCTGGTGCAAAACTCTGCAGCTAGACTACTGACTGGGGCCAGCCACAGGGAGCATATAAAGCACTTGTTACAAGAACTGCACTGGCTACCAGTCTTTTTCCGGGCCCAATTCAAAGTGCTGGTCATTATCTATCGAGCCCTATAAAGCTTGGGTCCAGGCTACCTGAAGGACCATATCTCCCTATATGTGCCTTCTCGGCAATTAATATCAGCAGAGGAGGCCCTCCTCTTGGTTCTACTGCCAGCAGAAGCACAGATGATGGGGACACGGGAGAGGGCCTTCTCTGGGGCAGCTCCCAGGCTATGGAACACACTCCCCTGGGAGATCAGGGTGGCCCCTTCCCTTTCATTCTTTTAAAAAAAGCTAAAGACCCATCTCTTCAGGCAGGCTTTTAACAGTTATAACTGAATACCTGAAACCCATTTTAGCAGATAATTTTAATCCTTTTCATGTTTTAGTCTTTTATTTTTATTTTAATCCATATATTGTTTAATTTGTCTTTTAATATTTAACTTACTGTTTTTTTAATTGTATGAATGTTAATGTTGTGAGCAGCTTTGTGTCCCTTCTTGGGAATAATAATAATAATA